TAGTTTTCTCATGATTGCAATTCTGGAATTTATAAATTTTGTCTATTTCAAGGTCAAGGGTCTTTCTCAATTAATTAACCTGGCCAAGCCTTTCATTACCCTTGATCTAATATCTTCTCCAGACAATTCAGGAACTGCTCAAAATCTTAACGAGTTGCTTAAATTAAAATTCCAAAAGAGATCTTTCATCCAAATCAGCTTCATGCTGGAGATCTTTCTTCCCCAATTTATGCACCATCAGATCCCTCTACCTGTTTAATATCTCCAGTCAAATGTTATAGGTCCTTGTGGAAGTTTCTTTGAAAGTACATCAAGTTTTCATTCGAGTTTCCCATTCTTTGAATTAGTCTGTGTATTTTAGCTGTATATTTCCACCTTGCTGGCAGGGATTTGAGGGCTTGTCGCCTGGCGCTGCCCGTGCCCACTGGAGCTCCTCACGCTGCCGCTACTGCCGACACCATCCAAAAGAGATCTTAGAGAGTCTGCTATGCATCTCCTGATGTTCTTCTTTCAGTCTTACTATGACTGGTCGTTTCTTTAAAATATAACCAAAGTTTAAAATTAAAAATTTTAAACTTATAAATTTTTAACATTAAATCCAATGGGTTTAGCATATAAAATAATGTAATTAGAAAGTTAATAAGATTTGATAATATTACAGTCTTTTGGCTCCCTGGTATGGTCAAACAATGTCACTGCAATATAAGTTACAAAACAAACTTTAAACCTATGCCTCTTTGTTTAAAAGCCCACATGGTTAGTCCAAACAGAGGCAAGTAAAATCGGAACTATTTCTCCCCCTCCTCGTAACAGAATCAAAATACCATTTAGGCAGTCTTTGTTTTAAATCAAAGAAGTTCAGCAAAGTCAATTAAAGATAATAAAATCCCTTCCACGGTTTTCCAAATTTACAGTTTGTTTATTTTGGCTTGGATACACCAATTTCTCCCCCCCCCGCCCCGCCATCTTAAAATCATGAAGCTTCAGAAATGATGTTACTTCAACAAAAAGGAAAAAGCAGGCATTCCTATGAAGGAAGAAAAGTATCCCAGATTTTCCTAAGGAAAAAAAAGCAAGTATTAGTGACAAGATTCAATTCTAAAGGGAAAAGAAACTATAGTCTGCAGAACAGATAGTCAGTGTAGGGAAGTATGTTGTCTCCTTGGAGCAACTGAGAACCTTACTAAAATAATTAACTTCGCGGATTACTACTCCTTTCTTCCTCATGTGGGGATGAATGACACAACAACGAATCTGAAAACAGTAATGAGATTATGAATAGTTAGAGAAGAAAGTTGAAGAAGAGCACAAATGATGTTTTCATCTATACTTCCAAAAAAAAGGCCAACATTCAGTGAGGGAGCAATTTTAGAATGAACCATTGGCTTAAAAACTGGTGTTGATAAGAGAACTTTGGTTTCCTAGACCAGGGTTTGACATGAAGGGCTCTAGGCAAGGAATGGACACCATCTCACAAGAACTGGAAAGAATATATTTGGAAAATGACTGACTTATCAGAAAGGTTTTCAACTAAAATTGAGGGGGGAGAGTAACCAATCGTCATTCAAGCAAAAACCTTTAGATAGCTAATCATATAAGGAAGTAGAAAGTAAAGAGAAAGAAGAAAAACTCAGATACGAAATAGGAGACATAGGAAGCATAAGGTGAGCCACAAATAACTTAAATGCCTATACACTAACATTCAAAGTTTAGGAACAAACAGGGTGAACTTGAAATATTAATACGTAAGTGCAATTATGATATAATTGCCATTACAGAAACTATAGTGATGCACACAACACAGCATGAAAACCTAGAATGCATATGCATCAACATATAAAGAAAAAAGAATGACATTGCCATAGGTATATACTATCAACCAAGTAGAAGAAATTGATGAACTTTTTGCTAATCAGTTAACCAACGGATATAAGAAACATACCACAATAGTAGTGGGGAACTTTAGCTACCCTTTCATCAATTGGGAGACCAACTTTGCAACAAATGGGAGATCAAACAGATTCCTGATCACCTAGCTGACAACTTCATAACCCAAAAAGTAGAAGTGGCAACTATACTGGACCTTATTTTTACCAATAGAGAAGAAGTGATACAAGGGATTGAAATTGTAGAAACTTTTGGGGAGAGTGACCTGTCATTTTTCGAATTCAATATAAAACAGACACAATCAACAACATAATCAAATCCAATGTTTTAGGCCTTAAAAGCTGATTTTGACAAAGTCAGAGCTTTTGGGAAGGATCCTATGGATGAAAATCTTACATGGGCAAACAACTCAAGAAGCTTGGGAAATGCTGAAAATACGATTATAAAAGGCCAGTCCAGTTCAATACCACTAAAAAAGATAAAGAAGAAGAAAACAGCATGATTGCTGAACTCTCAAACCAACCAAGAGAAACAAAAGGACAAGTACAAAAAATGGAAAGAGGGACAGCTAACTAAGGTGAATATCAACAAATAATTCAAAACTGTAAAGATGAAGTTTGTAAAGCACAGTAAAACCTGCAACAAATTTCAAAAACAAAAATTTCAACACATTAAAAAAGTCAAAAAAAACAATGGGTCCGCTAATGGGAGAAAATGACAAAGAGTAATGGACAATAGAGAGAGAGAGAGAATGCAGAACTGCTTAATCCACGTTTGCATCTGTCTTCATGCAAAAAGAAACCACTACTGAATTTACCCAAAATAGAACCATAAATGAGAGGTTTTTTGTGCTGTCTGAACTTGTTTTCTTGCAGGTGTTTAATTACCCAAACTAGGTAACATCATCAGTACCAAAAAGGAATGCTGATTGATGTCCCTTTATATTCCAGTGACTTGCCTGTCAGTGTTGGTGGGGGTGGTCTTAGAGGTTCTTTGATTGGGCTGTTTTCTGTTGGCTTTTTTGGCAGTTTCTTGATTGGCAGTTTACTTTATTGTTGGTCTGATGTTAACTGTTGACACCTTGGAGTTAATCTATCCTGATCTGGGTGCTGATTGCTGGTGGAGAAATGCTTGAGTCTTTTTGTTCCTTTTTGGCTGGATAATAGTCTATTTTGCATAGGCTATAGATGTTGTTAATGTCTATGTGTCCATTGATGGCTGATTTGTCAAGCATTCCCTGGCATTTTTGGACTTGGCTTGGTTCAGGATGGTCACATTTTCCCAGTTGAAACTATAGTTAAATCTATCTATATGTTGTGAAATTAAAGAATTTTTATTGTATCTTCTGGTTGCTAGTTGGTGTTTGTGGATATGTTCTTTCAGTTTTCTGCCTGTTTGTCCTGTATAATGGTTGTTGCAGTCCTTATACTGTACCTTATAGATGACTCCTGGTTTTTTCCCCTCCTGGGATTGTTGGGTCTTTTGGTCTGCTTACAGTGTTTTGAAGGGCTTTATTTGACTTGTTTGCTATGCTGATGCCATGTGGTTATAGTAGTCTGTTGGTGGTTTCTAAGATAATCTTGATGTATGGCAATGTCATTCTTTTCAATGTTTCTGTTGGTTGTGCTGTATTGGGTCAAGTCGTCAGGGACTTTTTAATAAAGTTGCATGGATATCCATTTTGTTGGAAAGTATTGTAGAGATGCTCTATTTCCTTTTTCTGATATTCTGGGTTGCTGTAGTATATGGGTAGTTTTTCTGTAGACTTGCATTTCTAGTTTGCCATTGTGGTCTCTGCTAATCAGGATGTCCAGGAAGGGTAGCGAGTTGTTATTGTTTTCTCTAATAAACTGGATTCCTTTTTAAAAGTTATTAATGGTTCTGTGGATGTTCTCCAATTAGTCCTTTTTATAATGGTAAAGGTGTCATCTATATATCTGATCTTTATTATTAAGTCAACAATAAAAATATTTTTATTATGTAATACTGAGTCAAATATATATTTGTATATAATGCAGCCCTTCCTAAAATTGCATATTTTCAAACTGCCTATATATTCATACCTTTTCTTTTCCAAAAGCATTGTAGCTTCTTAAATATATTGAAACAAGAAAAACAACTAGTCCACAGATTTAGTTCAATTGGAGGCTTATTATAAAATATCATTTTAAATATTGTAAAATTTCTTCTACAGCTTCACCATAGTCCTCCTTAGTAAAGTTTACATAACTAATTTTGAAGGTGTGAAAGATCCCACTGATTATTCAAGTTACTCTCTGATTTTCTATTAAATTTTCCTGCAAAAATAATTATAACAATGCTGGCATATAAACTACAGCTGGTATTACCTTTGATTATTCATCCTGTGATTTTATCAAACTGATATTAGATTACTAATTAACACTCTAAATCAGATGTGTTCAACCTTGCAGCTTTAAGACTCCCAGAATTCTTTACCCAGCATCAATTAATAATCTAATATCAGCCCTTGACATATTTAAAAAATCAGAGATCAGTCCTTTTTGCAGGATGTGAAAAAGGATTTTGCTCTAATAGCCCTGGAAATTTCTGAAATTTAACTCAAAAATTTTCATCTTTTTATCAAATAGGTTAATGTGGTATTCTATTGGCTTCAATGGAATTATTATATCATACTTTCATGTGAAACTGATAAAGGATATCCCAAAGGTGCTTTATTTTTCAAAAGGCAACTGGACGTTGTTTTTTCTTAAAGTCGTTTCACGTCTCATCCAAGAAGTTTTTTCAGTTATGACTGAATAGTGGAGGAGGGAAGGATTTATATTCATTGCAGTCATCTGGTCCTTAACAATCTTTTTGACAGTTGTTGAGATCACTTAGAGATTTGTTTTGTACTCCCAGGGACACCTGAATAGTGCAAATGAGTGTGAAACCTTGGAAATGCTGAAAGGACTGTGTTGTAAATTGGAAACAGGTGGTGTCATATATTTCACACTCTGTTGAAAGAGGGCTATTCACTGTTAACGTAGATGGCCTCTTTGACTCCTCTTTCAAACCAGTGTTTCTCTCTGTATGGAATATGGACTTTGCTTTCTTCAAAAGAATGACCTTTGTCTTTCAAATACAGATGCTATACTGGCTCTTATCCTGATGGGTTTGTTCTCCTATGTTGTGCCATACATTTATGAAGTGGCTGTTTTGTTTCTCCAATGTACAGATTTGTACACACCTCTATATATCACTGCACTATACTGCATATATCACAATGCTCGGTTTGTGTTTGGGTGATTTATCCTTGGGGTGGGCAAGCTTCTGCCTTAGTATATTTTGGGGGGTAGAGCTTGTATGTATATTTCTATATTGTGTTGGTTGAAAATCCTCCTGACCGTTTCAGATATTTCCGCAGCATATGGAATGACGTTGCTTCATTTGTTCTCTTTTTTGTCTATTATGAAGGACTTCCTGCTGAGTCTTTTTTGGATGTGATAAAGGCCCAGTTGGGATAGCCATATGTTCTGAGAACTTCCTCGACATGTTTTGGTTTTTTTTCTTTCCCATCTTTATTGATAGACAGACTTTCAGCCTGATGGTGTAGGATTCTGATCATTCCCATTTTGTACTCTACCTGGTACTGAAAATCAAAATGTAGATATTGATCTCTGTGTATGGGTTTTCTGTAAACTTTGGTATTAAAGCTTCTGTCTTCCTTAATGTGTAATACACAATCCAGGAAGCAAAACTGTTTTCCTTAACATCTTCCAAGGTGAACTTTATTGTATCTGCACACAGAATTGATGTGTTTGGTGAAGGCGTCCAATTCTTGTGTTTTAATCTTGATTTCAGCTACCTATGCCACCAGTGAGTGGATAGAATTCCCGTGAAGGAGTTAAAAGCTTTGGTTTCTATCTCTTCCATATAGAGATTGGCCACAATGGGGAACAAAATAAAATATAAAAGAAATATAGAACCATATCTCACGATTATTTGATAAGTAATATTTTAATTTTGTTTTTTAGAAAAGGAGTTTAGCCTAGAAGGCTTTTTAGTACAGATTTCTGTCTTTAGTGGTTGTTTACAAAATGCCCTTGGGAAGCTTGTAATTCGGACATGAAGAACAGTGGCCATCTTTAGCTAGCATTCAGAGCTATATTGGCTCTGAAGCTGGGCATGCCATTTTTGTGGCTAGCTGGAACTGAATTGTTTTATTTTCCATGTAGGTTTAAATAACAAAGCAAGTGATTATGACAATATCTTGCAATGGGAGTAAGTTACAAATTATTTGAAGTTACACCGTTTTGTTAATGATTGTACAAATTGGCTGAGTCACATATATGTGCGCATATGTGTGTATTCCTTGTGAATATGTGAAAATCACGTTTTATGATTAAAATGTAGAGACTTTAAAATGATTCATGTTTCCAAATCTAAAGCATTCCTGTTGAATTTCAGCTTGCTTTGATATCCCAGAGAATTAACAGAAAATGCAAAACAGTGAAGTAATAAAGCCTGCCAAATACTTTTCTGAAGTGGAGAAGAGTGTGCTGCTGGCATTAGTTGAGAAATATAAGTATGTACTTGAGTGTAAAAAGAGTGATGCAAGGACTATTGCGTTGAAACAACGGACCTGGCAGGCCCTCGCTCATGAATATAATTCCCAACCAAATGTATCACTCCGAGATTTCAAGCAGTTGAAAAAATGCTGGGAGAACATCAAGGCTCGGACAAAGAAAATAATGGCACATGAAAGACGAGATAAGGTAAAAAGATGCATTAGTCCACTTATAAGTAATCACGTCCTAGGAAAAGAGAAGATCACCAACATGATACCAGACCAAGTATATTTTTTACAGACTCCACCAGAAGAAGATTCTGAATATCAGCCTGAAACTTCCAATCAAGGTACAGTTATAATCTAGTGAACTGCATTAATCTATTTTTTTTCTATTTCAAAAATAGATAGGATATTTGCACTGCACTTATCCACTGGTATCTATATAATAACATCAGTTTCAAAGTGTAAGCAAATCACATGTACAATTCACTGTATGATTAGTGAGACATAACTTACTGCTCGTAGCTGCAGTAACAATATTGGTCCTGAATTGTCTCTTAGCTATAGAACCACCACCATGTTTTTATCTCAAAGTAGGAGAGAGAGAAAATCTTTTACAGTGGAATCCTTCCTGAACATAGAGATAGGAATACTAAAAACTGCAGGGGGCAGAGTGCAATTTATGGTTTATTATGGCTGGAAACGTAGCGGACACATGGATGAGACTAGGATTAATTAAGCTTTCCTAATGGAAAGGGGGATTTGGGATTTGTATTTTAAGTATATCAAGCTTTTTTAGGGTTTATATTATATTTCTGGGAAGTCTTTTGGAGTTGGGCAGGATAACCTCTAATTTCCTAAAATTTTGGTTTTAAAAATTTAACTTCCTTTTGATGTCATAAATTCCCAATTAGTTAGATTTTTAAATTATTAGTAATATTCTTCAGTACAAAGGGTATTATTTTAAATATGACTATGTACAAATTTGTATAATGTTTTATTTTTTTATTAAGTTTTATTTATTTATTAAGTTAGAAAAGCCTTTTTTCCCAATAATGCAGCTTTGAAAATCACACTGATCACTTAATGTAAATGCAACTCTTACAAAGAGTTGAAATATGTTTAATGTTTAATTATCTGAAGTGGAACATCTTTGAATGGGTAGTTTTTGCCCTTGTCATAAATAGAAAAAGGTACTTACCTATATAGATCTACAAATAAGAAGACAAGCTAGGACAAATTTCCTGTACCTTCCTCCTGCAGTCCATTAAGTTCAAAGTGCCTAGGATGGATAATATTACAAAACTGACAACTTCTTGAATTCGGACATAAGCTTAAATTTGTAAATATTTCCTATTTCAATAAACTAGATGAATTTCAGCCTTATTCCCAAGCTCGGAACTGAGGTAAAGTAGGAAATATTTATGTAATGTACCAGAAGTGAAACATTTTCAGAAGTGAAAATTATATAGATATACATATATCACAACAATCTTTCTTTCCAATTACCTTTAGCTTTTTGAGTGTCCACCCTAAAATACGTTTGTAATTTCATATTGTCCTGGTACAGACATTTTTGCTATTTAGTGTACCCTGAATATTCATGGAAGATTGCAGAAATATTTTAGTTATGCAGTCATTTTATTTTTAACATTGAATGCTTAACCTCCCTATAAAATGCTTTTTCTTTATAACAAATCACTTTATGAAATAGTTCAGCTGTTTGTGGTTTGCCAAGGGCATTCAGTAAATATCTAATGGAAAAATGGAAATCCAGGCACATTCCAGGTACATTCTTTCCACAAGGTGAATTAGATCTTATAATAAGGGAATTTTTATTTTTTTAAAATACAGTTTTTAACCGTTTCTTGTATTTTCCCAGAATCTTTCAGTGTTATTAACAAAGAATCATGTGATGAAGAGAAAGGACTTGTACATTTCCAGGTATGTGAAGGTACCTCACAATCTGAGCCTTCCTGTTCAGCAGTCAGAGTAACTGGAAATAAAAACTTCAGAAATAAAGCTGCTCAAGAAAGTGATTTGAAAAAGATGCATGAAGAGGAGCACCATCAGCAAATGTCTATTTTACAACTGCAACTAATCCAAATGAATGAAGTGCATGTAGCAAAAATTCAACAGATAGAAAGGGAATGTGAAATGGCTGAAGAAGAACACAGGATCAAGATGGAAGTGCTAAATAAAAAAAAAATGTACTGGGAAAGGAAACTTCAGACTGTTACAAAAGAATGGCCTGTTTCATCTTTTAACAGACCATTCCCTAATTCACCCTAGTACATGCAGCTGCTGGTGGTTCATTAGACTGAAGTAACTTGGTCATCAGAAAATAGTTTGAGAATCAGGTTCAATTCCTGTATTTAGAATGACAATGTAATTGTTGGCTATGAACAAATGTCAAGGAATACCTAAAATAGGGTTTAGGAAGGTTTTCATTTAATAAAACAACAAAGAAATCTCCATATTTTTGACTTTATAATGGAATTTCCAAGTATGCCCAATAAACCACTCCTTTTCATGGTAGCCAGCTCAATCCAATTGGGTATTTTATGTTATTTTATTTTTGTAGCTGAGTTTTTCAATTAATTATTTAATGATGAATGTATATTACGGTACAGTTATTAAGACTTGAAGAGTGATTCAGCTGAATTATCAAGCAAGATAAAAAGGGTGATAATATAGCAATTGCTGTACAAGAAAAGGAATTCAGATTTCCAAAGCTGTCAGATTGGCTGTCTGTTCAGACATAGTTATAATTGTGGAATAGTAGAAATATGTGTTCCCCACTTTCTGCCTTCACTTCTTTTCTGATAGATTATCTAGTCTGTTGCCCTTGATTTGCACTGTATGGCACAATCAGCCCACTAGCCGGTAAAACTCACACTGGCATCTGGCCTGCAGTAAAAAGAAATAACCCACTTCTATTTGCATCTAGTCCTATGAATGTTTTATCCAAAGTAAATGCTTATAGACTTTGCAATTTATTAATTTTATGCAAGTACTGCTTGTGAATGTTTGTGGCTTCCTGCTACTATGTATACACATACTGGACATAATTTTAGAGGTACAAAATGCTTGAAGCAGCCCTTGTAGAACTTCTACCTTTGAACAGATTATGAAGAGCTGAAGGAAACAAATACAATATGAAATAGAAAGATAGACATTTTATCTTTAAAATAGGTAGTAGCCTGGAATGCCCACAATTCGTATGTAGCATTATTATTTCAGACTAATCAGCAGAGATGGTAGGGACTAGTATTTTTTCAAAGTAGGAATTTTGTTGTGTTCATTAATGGGTTTCCAACAAATCTGAAATGTTTTTCTTCTGGAGATTTCTAGAAACTTTTTTTTTTCACTCACTCCATGCATTTCTGCTGGTCATTGGCTTTAAGCTTATTAAGAACATTACAAAATCTTTTAATATCTGAATAATAGGCTAAAGCTATTATTCATAGAAAGCTACCAGTAAAACAAAAAAGGCACAGCTTATTTCTGAAGGAAATATAATCACCCTAACATATTTTAATTACTTATTCTGTTCTCCTTTTGGGTAATTCTAAATTTACAAAAGGACATTAATTTCTTATCCAGCTTTAAAGGTGAGATTGTAATGAATGTTGTGAACAATCTGAATCCAGAATTTAAACATTTGCTTGTTGACTAGCTTGTGTGTTGAATTTAGTTAAAGCAGTGGAGGAGTCTCATCCTTTGTAGAACAGAATGGGCAAAACCAAAATATTAAAAAATTGTATTTTTTGGTTTTGGCTTAGACCAAGAACCCAAGTTTTTAAAGCAACTAAATTCATTTCAATACAAATCTATTATCAAAAAAATCAATCCAAACCATAATTCAAATTTTGCACTAAGTAAATTAAATTTTGTATTAAATTATATATATAGTATGAATGTACTATATATTTCCATAGCATACATTTATTTTTTTCTAATCATTGGACATTATGCGATCGATAGCAGAAAATTCTGGATCAGAGATTTCACTAAGTATTCAACACATACATTGAAGTTTTATTTGAAGTTATATTTACAGCTTCAGTGACTATTGGCTTATGTTTTGGATTTGTTACTTATTTGTTACTTTCCTTGAGTATACAACATACTAAGACCCAATTATTACTTCTGGTATTATAAAGAAGAAATTAATTTTTATACATTTTAACTTTACATTTACCTATAAAAAAGCAAGTTAAAAGTTAATAACATCATAATTTTACACAACAAATGAGTGTCATTTAATTATATATTTCCAAATAATTTTTCCAGCCAGTTCAGTAGCATTTTTCATTGGCCTAATTTGATAAAACATTAATTATGTATTTGAATTTTAGTTTGTTCCAATAAATAAACTTGTCTTTATTTTTAATAGTTGAATATTGGGGAAAAGTCTTTTCCAAGCTATCTATACACTGTTCTTATTGAATGGGATTATGATTGGGTTTTTTTTTATGTTACTATTTTTAAATAAACCAAACTAAATAAAAACAAGGGAATTATTTAAAAAAAACCAAATAAATGGGAAAAGACCCAAAGAATAAATATTAAGACATGGCTGAAAATGAAAGAGAAAGTAAGGCAAGCAATTATCTAATTCTATCATATCTGGAACTAATATGATAAAAACAACATCCAAAGAGATATCATTAAGCACACTCAGGGGGATGAGCAAATTGGGACTTTTCAAAGGTCATGACAACCACTATTTAATACAAGGAATGAAATATAATTTTAAATTTTGATTTTTGAGTAAGTCTTGTTGAAGTTAACAATTTTTTTGTGATTCTGTTGGAAATATGCTAAATATCTTAGCATAATGGCTAAATATCTGGCTCAATTTGTTCTATTCAATTTCATTTATAAAGGTAAAGTTGTAGGGATATTTGTTTAATAACCGTATGTTTAACAGTTTTTAAACTTCTAAGAGGTCTCTTTGCACTACTGATATTTAATCTGTATAGATGTTCTGAGTCATAGTTTCAGTTCAACCCTCTGCATATTTCAGAACAGGCTAACATTTTAGAGGAGTTGCATCTCAGACTACATAAGTTGTGAACTACCATGCAAAATGCAGTGACTAGCACTCTTGAAGTAGGTTTGGCTTAATAGGTCACCAGTTGTTCAGATCTTTGTTCACTTTACATTCAATTTCTAGTGAATTAACCATAATATGTAGCACATGGTTCTCATTATGCTATGTCTTGATTTCTGTCACTAGCTGTCATTAAAGTTTATAAATATCGAATATTAGCATGGGCAAAGAGAACCTTGAAGTCGCAATATTGTGCAGATTAGACATATAAATAATAATTTGTTGAATATCTGTTTCTACTACCATATTCAACAAGTTCTGGTTGTGTAAGTTAATGGCTGGTGGCACTTAACATGCTAGTTTAAAATGTGGTTTGTTCAGTTTGGTGTAGCCATTGGCTTATACATCAGAATTTATGGTTTAGCTTTATGTATGATATAACATTTAACCAAGACATTTGTGTGGCTTCAATATTGGTGCAAATAGGACAGCTCCATCATTTCCTGGTACTGGAAAAAAAACCCTTACTGGCTTGGATCAAATCCTCCTAACTTTCATTGATCTATCCATTTAACAAATGCATATTACAGAGCCTTTTTGAAATCTCTTCAAATTGTAAGAAGCCATCTGAAATATCTCAAATAAGTACCTTTTAAAATTAGTACCAAAGCTGTTCCTGCTTTTTACAGAATTATTTTCAAAAGTGCATAATGGAAAATATGGAAAATTGCTATTATGCCCAAATAAGGACTGTTGCCCAGTCTGGTCTCTAGAACCAGAACCTTATGCTTTATATATAAATATTTAAGGAATAAGGGGAACCTTGTTATGCATCTTGGTTTCATAACATTTTTGATGAAGGATTTGTTCAGTAATATTTATTTTTTCATCAAAAGAAGAGACTCCAAAAAAATCCATAATGAAAATTAATAGTAGGTGTACATTTTAGTGCCTTGTCTATTGTATAATGTGTAATCAAATGATGGATTTCTTATTAAAATGTATCTAAATATTGCTAGTAGAAAAATTCCATATGCCTATACTTGCTTCCAATAAATCATGATGTATTAATCTTGAATTTTTCTTTTAGCGTAAAATCATAGGTTGCTTGGTATTCACTGTAAAGAGTAATAGTTCTAAGTACATCGAGAAAAGAAAAAATATGGCATGTTGATTACAATTAAGCAAAATATGAGAAAATAATTTAAAGAAGGCATTTAAAGAAGGCATCAGCAATCAGTAGTGACTTTAGAACAATAGTGATGGGAAAAGTTTTAATTATATAGACCAGGAATGTCAAACTTGTGGGGTCACATTGTCATTGTCATCATGTGACGTATTATGACTTTCCCCTTCGCTAAACCAGGGGTGGGCAGGGCCAGTATGTGATGCATCCAACCTGTGGGTTGTGAGTTTGACAGCTGTGATACGGACAATGATTGAGTCCAAAATACATTCTCCCTAATGAAAACAAAACTTTCACTAATGTTCATATACACATTAATGTACAATTAATTGAACCACTACTTGCCTAAAGTTCACAACACATGGAAACAAAAATTAACTACATAGTTAAAAGATACTGATTCAGACTTGTGGGAAAGTATCTTGGAATAGTTACTCAACATATACTTATAGTGGCAAAATTTCACAGCTTAACTAAGTACAGATAGTCCTTGACTTACAGTTCATTTATTAACTGTTCAAACTTTTCATACTTTTCATTTGAATCATACTGTGTTTTTCTCCCAGCACAAAAAGGCAGTGAATTGATATTTTCTAATCCAAAATCTTCAGTTAGATTGGATTCTTAAAAGTTGTTACACTTTTCTAGCATGGTAGCAGATTGGATCTACAGAGTTCTGATGGTTATAGCCTCTTTTTTCTGCCATGATTTTTGCCCCAGCCCCTTGTCTTCATCACTTATAACATCTGCCCAATAAGCTTAACATGATTTCAGGAAATAAATGCTGATTAAGTTTGTCAACACTTGTAAACACCTCTTGCTGATAGTAAAGATATATCTCTTTGAAATAATTCCTTTCTGTATTGGATTTCTAAATTGGATCTTTTTAGAAATAGGACTTTGAGTCCTATTAGAATTAATTTAAACTTATTTCACCCAAATTTTTACACAAATGGTTTGATTTGCAGATGCCACTTGCGTCCCAGTTCTTTATTGTGCAGTTGTTCTGCAAAAATACAAACTTCTCCAAGATCCAATATTTTATTTGCATTTATTTTCATTCCAATTATGTCTTATTTTTTTCCACATTACATTGAGTAGAACTTAAAATGTGGAGCAGAGGAGGGATGGCTACAAAATGGAAACTAATCAAGGAGAGAAGCAATCTAAAACTAAGGAAAACTTTCCTGACAGAACAATTAATCAGTGGAATAACTTGCCTCCAGAAGTTATGTGTTGTGATACTCCAACACTGAAAGATTTTAAGAAAAGATTGGGCAACCACTTGTCTGAAATATGGTATATGGTTTCCTGCCTGAGCAGAGAGTTTGACTAGAAGACCTCCAAGGTTTCTTCCAACTATTCTGTTATTCTATTCTGTTAAATACTATAGTTTAACAGCAATGATTCAAAGAGCTATATAATTTTTATTCTATATAAATGTATTTGTTAACTGCAACTGGTTTTTGGCAAAGGAAATTACCATCTGCTTTTAAATTATTGCATTAAATTATGAGCCTCAGCGAGATAAACTCTAATCTGAATGTATTTGACTTGTAAACTATCTGATCAAGTCGCTGTGTACAAATTCCCTTTTTAAACACTGTCTTTCCCATCTGCATCTAATGAAGGGAATCAGGGCCCTTTCCTCCCCCATAAGCCATGTAACTCATGTTGCTCCCTTATCTGTTCCTCTCTGCGTGTCCTAGGATGAAGCCTGGATCTTCCTCTGAATTCCCTCTGAATTCTATCCCTTGCTCTGCCCAGCCAGACTATGCCCTTCCCCAGTTTCTTCCATAGCCAGTGGGGCCACTGCCTGTCAGCTGTTCGGCCTCCCCTTCGGAATCAGATTCCGACGGGCATGACAAACTTAATAAAGCATTTCCTCTGTTGCAGGGGTATCAAACTTGATTGCGTTGCAGGCATCATCAGCATTGTGGTTGTCTTTGGGGGTTTGAGGTGTGGGGACATGGCTGGGGTGGTCACAGCCAATTGGGTGTGGTTCAAGGAGCATAGCCAGCTCAGTATTACTCGTGTGGTGTTGGGAAGGGAATCCAGGGGTCTCTGGTGGGTGGGAGGCTTGTCCCACCGGAGGTGAGGTAAGGTGATGCAAGGGTGTGGGCTAGAGGTGCTGCTGCTGCTAGGAGATGCAAAGGGTGGAGTGGCTGCTGCTGGACACCGTCAGCCATCACTTGTTCATCAACCTTTGTCCGTGGTGGCAGATGTTTTCCAGCCCCTCAGATGGTGCACTGTGCAGCATTCCACTGGGCTCGCCATCAAGCATGGCAGTGGCATCAGCAGCTGGCAGAGATGGGGAGAGGCATGTGATGCAGATTGCTGGATGCGCTTACACTGTCCCAGTGTCTGTCTTGGCTTGCAGCTGGAGAGCAGGTCGCTGCTGGTCTTCTCAGACCCCTCATGGGTCTTGCTGTGCATGTGGAGCATGTTCCCCTCATGCACCTGATACATCTCAGCCCCACTGTGTGCTGTCGTCACCTGGAAGACCCATTGCCGCCACCACCCACCAAACCCCCAGGCCCAACCAAGAACATATGCCTCCCCCTCATCTCTGCTGGGCCTGGGCAGCCATGGCACTGGTGGGCACCTGGCTTTCCCTGCTCATGGCCTTTCTACCTGGCCATTTCACTTCCTTTAGGCTGCAGCAAGGTGAGATGCATCAGGTGTCTGAAGAGAACATGCTCCACCTGCCGGCCAAGGGCAAGACTGCAAGGGGGCAACCTGCTCCAGACCAGTAGTGACCCGCTTGCCAGCCGCAAGACAAAACAGACAGTGAGACAAAGTAAGCACGTCCAGCGGTCTGCATCATATGCCTCTCCCCCACCTGCTGATTCCCTTGTGCGTGCTGCTGGGACGGTGAGCCTGGTGAAGTGGCTCGAGTTGCAGAGTGCTCCATCTGAGAGTCTGGAAAACATCTGCCCCCATGCACAAAGGGTGACGAGCGAGCAATGGCTAACAGTTCCCGGCACTAGTCACTCCACCCTTGCGTCACTTAGTGGCTGCACAAACCCCAACCTGCCCCTGCATCATCTCACTTCACCTCCTGTGGGACAAGCCTCCAGCTTTTTGCCTGTTTGGCCTGGGCATGCTCCAGCACCTCTACTGGGGCTTTCTAGCTGGTCATTTTGTCTCCATGCTGGGTGAGCCTGGTGCTGCGGGTTGCGACAGCAGTGGCCTAATGGACCCGCGCAAGCTGCTGGCAGCCTCGGTGGTGACAGAAGCCCACAGCAGTGTCGAGATGTGGCCAGTGCATGAGGGAATGCACTCCACATGTGAGCCAAGGGAAAGACCTGCAAGGGAACCAAAATTACCAGTGGCAGCAATAGCCAGAGGCAGAGGCACAGGGGAGAGGCATGCAATCTGGCATGCTGGATGTACCGGGCAGCCACATGGGATGAAGCAGGCATGATTGGTGATCCGTATCACGTGACTCCCCCCACCCCCCCGGCTGCCTGCTGCTGGTGCTGCCACTGCCATGCCTGTTTCTTGGAAAGCCAACTGCAGAGCTCATTTTCGCTGGTAAAGGCAATGTGGGCTGGTCCTTTACTAATTTCAGGCCAGCCCTGCAGACCATATCTAAACACATCACGGGTCACATCTGGCCAGTGGGCCTTGAGTTTGACACCCCTGCTTTACGTTCTAAGGAGAGTTTCCTATGACAGTTAAAAGTCAAGCCACAAGTCTCATGGTGACTGTACCTTGTATATTTTATTTAATCTGATGGCTATATAATAATCCTCTGCTGCCATTTCTGTAAAATAAAACAGAATTTCTATAGAGTAAGATGGGATTTTCTGATAGGTAATGGGCCCAGCTTCAACCCAGAGACTGCATTCAAGCATGCAGTAACAGCATAAATAAATCCAGTACCTAGAGATAAACCAGTACAAACCCAGTACCCAAAGGAGAACTCAGTATAAACCTAGCAATAAGTCCAGATTAGAGGATAAATACAAAGTTCAGCACAGAACAGAGAAAACTAGGCATAGCACAGCTACAGCAAATAAGTGCAAGATACAGCAACAGAAAGAGGACAGCAGCAGAATAAAAGAAATAGTAACACAACTGCAACAAATATTTCATTTGCAAATCTGATAAACCAGAACTGCCCATCTTGGAAATTCAAGATGAAAATGCTGCTAATAATGACAGATACGTGGAAATGTATAAATTGAAGCTAGGCCAGAATACCCTTGAGATGAGTGGATAGAGAAAATCAGAAAACTCAGAGCAAAATTTCTCTTAGCATAGAAGATGATCAAATCATACATATATGTAAATGTAAAACTGCTAAAGAAATGTGGGAAGGATTATAAAAGGTGCACGAAAGAGTTAATCTCAGCAATAAACTGTATTTGATTAGAAAGCTATACCAAACCAAATCAATAAAAGGCCAGGATATGCAGGTTTACATAATGCGCACTTTGGAAATGCCTGAATGCCTGAGAGGTATGGGGAAAGAAATAAAAGATTTTCATAGCTATATAATCTCTGCTACTAGTTCTATGAAATTAAACACCTTTTCTATTGAATAAAACAAGATTTTCTAACATAACCAGTAGCCAACATTCATTTGTAAAAAACAGATCATGCCAAACAAATTTTATTTCATTATTTGACAAAGTGACTAAATTAGTGGACCAGTAAAATGCTGTGGACATAGTTTACTTGGATTTCAGTAAGCATTTGACAAAATAGATCTCAACCTACTGGACGACGAACTGTACTCAATGTGTAGTCCTTAATGGAACTATATTTACATGGGGAGAAGTAAGCAGTGGGGTACCCCAAGGTTCTATTTTAGGCACTGTACTCTTCAATGTCTTAATAAACAATTTAAATGA